CTGCTTTGTTTATTCCATGAAAGATCAAGCACAGCATCAGTATGTCCTTCCACAGTCCCTTCTGAAGATAAATTCTGTGTACACACATGACATAAACAGACTTTTGAAAATTACAGCTTCAGTGCAAATCAAGCCTTACTCCACATTAGCATGAATCCCCTAAAGCCTTCACAAACAACTTTGTATTAAATTACTCTCACTTGCTGCAACATAGCTTCTGAGAGAACTCTCTGCACCACCTGCAGCCTGCCTCCTACCCCAGATCACAGATTGCTCCAGCTGCTGGGTTTACAGAACTGGTTACTCCCTTCAGGCTAGTAAAAGAAATCTCATTATTTCCAGCTAATGTGCAACTTCTTCAGCTTCTTTCTAAACACTCCTGGCAGTTCCCTCTCTCTCCTCCCAATTAACTGAGCTTTGGGTCCTTGAAACTGCCAGTTCCTGCAACTTCTCATTTTAAATAGTCAAGATTCAAAGTTTACTGGGACATCACCCCATTCCTGTTCTGCTCTTAATTCCAGGCTTTAGTTATTTAGAGAACAATTAGCATTTCAAATAATCTAAGGGGAAAAAAATGGCATTATTATTATCCCTGCTCTAAATTTCCTCCATCCAACCAAGAAAAACCATTCTGCAACACCTACTTTCTTTCCTTTCTTTTTCTTCTTTTTCTCTTTCTTGACTCCAAGAGAAAAGACTGGTTCCAAGGATTCTACTACATCAAGGTCCCAAATATCAATGACTGGGGTCATGTTACCCACTGCAACATAATTTCCTAAACAAAAAGCCAAATGCAACCACATTTATTATATTATGAAACAGCGTACTTGGCAACTCAGCTGCCCCTTATTTCTTTGGTTAAGTAAAACTTATGTGCCACAATCTTCTATTTGAACATATTTATGTTTCTAACTGTAAAGGAGCAATTTGAAAATATCAGCTGACAGTATATGTTGCCAGAAAAAAATTTACTTGCTCTCTTCCCCTCCAGTACAAGTAACTGTTCAAACAAGCTGCATAAAGTTGCATGTTTTGTTTGTTTTAAAGAAAAAACAAACCAAACCACATCCCCTGTACTATGAAAAAACAAATCTGTTTCACAGGAAAAATGTTACTAAATATATAAATATACATATAAATTTTGCTGTGGTTTACATTTAATTAACTGCATTTCACATAAAGAGTTTGAACAAAAGCAACCCTTTGTTTGCAAACAGAAAATAAAGCAGATTTTAGACACTGCTCTGGTCCGCTGACAATAACTTAATTGTTTGTAATAAAAGCAGTATTTTAGTAAAATCATTTGTTTCAGCAGCATCACCAAGATGATTGTATCACCAAGCAAAAATACCTGATACTCACATCTTGGTTATCCCAAGTCAATATTATCTTGATATTAACATTGATTTTATTTCTTTGTACTGAAGGAAGAAATTATTTAGTACCAACAACATTACACTAACATGCTTTTCAAGCAAAAATCCTTTATCTGGACATTGACAGTATCCTTTGAAATTTACCTGTTGATTCATCTGGACTAGGATCAAAATTCAACCACTCCAGACTCAGAGGGTAAGCAGGCAA